GCTGGGCGTCAGTGCAGGCAGCGCGCTAGGTCTCATCTATCGAGCGCAGGTGGGCAGCGAGGTCAGAGACAGTAGGGAAAGAAGCAAGGTCAGGAAAGAGCATCGGGAGGATCAGGCGACCCACCGAGGCAGCCGGAGGGGTGGAATAGCGCTTGATGACAGCATCTAAGTATGCCTGAGCAGTAGTGAGGGACCTAAAGCGAGGACGCTCGGACGGGGGGAGGGCGTTGCTAATGGCAAGCTGGGCGACAGCATCGCGAGAAAGCCAGACAGAGCGCGCACGGGCAGTGGCAACAGTAGACTCACGCTCAGTGGGTGTGGGGTCAGCGGGCAGAATAGCAGGGGGGTCTGGGCAGGGGAGCGTACCGTCAAGGTGTGCGGAAAGCGGTTCACCATCCTGCCGCTGGCCAGTGAGTTGGCGGCGGAGGCCGGCAAGCCACGCCTCGAACTCTAGGGGCTGACCTTCAGCGTCGAAGCGAAGCTCCGCCGCCATCAGGAACAGTCCAGTGCGGTGCAGGGCAGTGCAGCTAGGTGGGGTGCGGTGCAGTGCGGTACAGTGCGGTGCAATGCGGTGCAGTGCGGTGCAGTGCGGTGCAGTGCGGTACAGTGCGGTGCAGTGCGGTGCAGTGCGGTGCAGTGCGGTGCAGTGCGGTGTAGTGCGGTGCTAGGCAGTACAGTGTGGTGCGGGGCGGCACGGAGCAGGGCGGGGTGGGGGGGAACCGTACCAGTGAGGAGGACGGGGCCGGGGCTGGCCCGACGGGGCCGGGCGGGCGCGACGGGGCCGGGCTGGTGCGACAGGGCCGGGACGGGGCGACGGGGCCGAGCGGGCGCGACGGGTCCGGGCTGGGGCGACGGGGCCGTGCGAGTGCGGCAGGGCCGGGCCGGTGCGACGGGGCCGGGCGAGCGGGACGGCGGCCGGGCGGGTGCGACGGGGCCGGGCGGGTGCGACAGGGCCGGGCAGGGTGCGACGGGGCCGGGCGGGTGCGACGGGGCCGGGCGGCTGCGACGGGGCCAGGCAGGGTGCGACGGCGCCGGGCGGGCGCGACGGGGCCGGGCGGCTGCGACGGCACCGGGCGGGCGCGACGGGGCCGGGCGGCTGCGACGGGGTCGGGCAGGGTGCGACGGGACCGGGGGGGGGGTACGACGCGGCCCAGGAGGGGCGCTACGGGGCCCAGGAGGGGCACGACGGGGGGCCCAGGAGAGGCGCTACAGGGGCCCAGGAGGGGCGCAACGGGGCCCAGGAGGGGCGCTACGAAGCCCAGGAGGGGCGCGACGAGGCCCAGGAGGGGCGCTACGGGGCCTAGGAGGGGCGCGACGGGGCCTGGGAGGGGCGCGACGGGGCCCAGGAGGGGCGCTACAGGGCCTAGGGAGGGCGCGACGGGGCCTAGGAGGGGCGCTACGGGGCCCAGGAGGGGCGCGACGGGGCCCAGTAGGGGAGCTACGGAGCCCAGGAGGGGCGCGACGGGGCCTGGGAGGGGCGCGACGGGGCCCAGGAGGGGCGCGACAGAGCCCAGGAGGGGCGCTACGGGGCCTGGGAGGAGCGCGACGGGGCCCAGGAGGGGCGCTAGGGGGCCTGGGAGGAGCGCGACGGGGCCTGGGAGGGGCGCGACGGGGCCTGGGAGGGGCGTTACAGGGCCCAGGAGGGGCGCTACGAAGCCCAGGAGGGGCTCTGATACCATATCAAAATTAGAATTGAATAATGGTAAAGTGAGAGTACACACAAATATACCTAAGTGTTGTACCCTCTAAGAGGTGACCCTATACAGTCTATACAAACATGACAAATACACATGTTTGACATCTCGTACTGTAGTAGTGAAGCCACCACAGTTGAGAATCTCGAGCTTCTTCAAGGAAACTCCATCCAACAGTCGAAACACGTCGAAACGATCGCAGTCGATCGTAGTCGTTGAACCTTGGTCGAATTACCCAGATAACCAAACGGGCAGTAGGGATACTACGGCACCACAGCTTCCTTGTCTCCAGCGAGTCCTTCGCCGAGAATTACAACTCCCGTCGTCGTGCACTGTATCCGCACAGTAACACTTCGTTATTCACACTGCTGCAAATCGGCGAGCCGAATCTGCTGTATGCGCCAAACTTGTCCGTAGCTCCGAAACTGTATATCGTTCCTCGTTTAAAGCCCGCGTCTCATATTTCCTAAGGTAATACGCTTGGTACTAGGTAACGTAGCTGCTCTTTGTGCGAGGGCTCACAAGTGAGTGCGAGAGTAGATGTCCAACCTCAGCAAAGCGAACCCGAGAACGCGTTCGCAGTAAGCTAGGTTTTGGAACCTGGGCTGGGTATACGGAATCAGGACCCGAAAGTGACTCGAGCAACAAATTTTCGGCCCAAACTCAACATGGAATTGCAACTGCTTGCGAAACTTTGAGAATTCAGCCCCCACCATCCACGCCCTCAATGTTTCGTGAGCTCAACCCAAAGGTAATACGGGTCCGCAGAAATACGAGACTCGAAGCCTCATCAAAGTGGGACCTTCCACGATTTCCAAATTGGTCGCAACCCTTGCCCACTCCCTTTCAAAATTTCGCCCCTCGCCCCCCAATCAGACCCTCCCACCAAAGGTAATACCTTTGGTCGGTAGGAAATATGAAACGCGGGCTTTAATTCTACGTGAGTCGTGACACTCGCAGAAACACGCGTCCGTATTTCGCAAAGTCAATGAACTCCAGCTATTCGTCAAATGCGAGGTCATTCGTGACACATGCGAGAACACGCGTCCGTGTCTCACGAAAGTCAGCGAATTCCATTAGCACATGGACGAAAACACAATCAGTCCCGTAACCGTAGTCGATGTCGCTTCAAGCGGTTTATGTAAACTGTTAAATTATATATTGTGTTATATAATTGTTAGGCTTGGTAGGTTACCGAACTATCCTATAGAGGGTACAGTCCCCTCCTTGTATCCCTCTCTCTTTCTAGTTCCCTCTCTTTTCTCTCGTCAAACTTTCCCTCCTAGCTCTCGACCTCCAAAAGCCCTCACCATTTCATGGCGTCCTAGTTCCTAGTTTAACATAAACTGTCAACATATACATATGCTGTATATAGAAGTTATAGGCTAGCCTAGGTGTGTGCTTCTAGTGAGTACAACCCCAACAGGTATATGTTCTAGGTTTCTCACACTAGTCATTTATTCTCCCATTCTAACATGGTATACGGAGTAGGTTAGGTCCACCCACCCGCTTCCGCCCGCGCCCTTGCCTATTGCCCCCTACCTACCCCCAACTCGAAATGGTGAACTGTACAGTGCACTCTTTTGGAATTTCAGTCAGCGCGGCTCGGATATTTGAATTTCGCCTGTCGTCGACTCGACCAGCGCCCGACGTGGCAAATAACGGTCCCTGCAGTCAAGCCAACGGACGAAGGTCGACAGCTGGGCGACCCGAAACGACTGCGCGCGACTGACGATATGCTCCCTGCGATGATAGTTTGGGAGGGTGCAGCGAAACTATCGTATACTTTCCTGTGCACACAGCCACCCGCGAAGCTCGCAAAACGTCAAAACGGTCGGGTATGGGGTCGATACCTGTAGGAGAATCCGCTCTATGCATTTGTGTAAGGGCGCGTAACTCTGGGTTCTTTTGTAAAGAGGTTGTCATGCACAAATTTACAATCAACATTTTACATTTGTGACACATGCGCGTTTGTGACACGATATTTCCCCAACACTCTTCGGCCGTGGGTCAAAGTCATTTGGCTTTTTGCCTCAGCTGATGAAGGGCATCTCTGGCCATCAAAAGGAAGGTTTCCGGAAATAATTTAGCTACGATTTCTGAGAATTCAGAGGAGCCCTTGCAACTTTCCATGTGTGGCATGAGGTATCTGGCTGGACATAGCATACCATATGTTTCTCCAAGAGGAAGACAACGTTAGTTATTGCGTCCCACTATTGTTCCAATTTATGGAAGAGTCGCGCGTACTTGTGACACAATATGTTCCCGACTCCCTTCGCGCTGGGACCAAAGTCTGGGTTCTCGTTCGGCTTTATGCCTTGGCTGGTGAAGGGCCCATATGACCATCAATAAGGCGGTTTTTTCTTCTGATTTCCTGAAATAAATCAACTACATTTTCTGAAAATTCAATGGAGGCCCTGCAACTTTTCCACGAGCAGCAAGGACCTGGACATTTGAAATGCGTCTCCCTTGCACCAAGGGGAAGACAACGCTATTGAGTCTCATTATTGCCGTTCTTGTACGTTTTCCCTTTGCCTCGTGTCCATTCTCCAAGGGGCTCAAAGCGTATAGTTCTCTCAGAAAAGGAAGGCCTCTGGATCGAAAAGCTTTTGGTTCTGAGGGTCTTCGCAAATAGCATCCGTTTACAATGCTCCAAATCCCGCCAAAGAAGGGGCGCGACGGGGCCCAAGAAGGGGCGCGGCTGGGCTAGAAGGCGCGACGGGGCCTAGTTAGGGTAGGAGCGGAAGCGGTAGGTGGGGGATCCTAACCTACGCGTGATACCATATCAAAGTGGGAAATGAATGATTGAGTAGAGAGAGAGTACAGGTGAATATACCTAAGTGTTGTACTCTCTAAGAGATGGCCCTATACAGTCTATGCAAACATAGGAGATACACATGTTTGACAACCAGCAGCAAATCCCAACAACACTTCCACCCTAACCAGCAGTATGTTTCAAGCTAAAACACTATGGGCCAATGCCTCCCTCTTACCTACGGATCTCTCTAACGTTTTGGGTAGTAATGTTTGGAGCTGACTATAAGCAATCCTCTATCTAAATCCACTGAAGCGCGAGTGGTGTCAGGATCCGCCAGTATCTATTATCGCTTTGACAAGCTGCAGCGCCAGTGGCGTCAATTAACGTTGTTGAAAATACCGGTACCACTTTGTCGTTGACACAATCGCTGCTGCTTACAGCACGGTACCTTGGAGCGTGGTGGGGAACGCGACGGCGTCGGTGGTGTGCACAGCGAGCTTGCCGGTCTTGACGTAGAAGTTAAGCTTAGTGATGGTCAACGTGCTAACCTTCTTCCCCTGCAGCACCACCTGCCCCTTCTTGTTGTTCGCCAGCTTCTGCAGCGTCATGGGCTTGCCCGCCTTGGTGCTCGCGAGCGTCGTCATGTTGCTCCCCTCGGGGAGGCTCTTGAGCGCGTCGGCGGGAATGACCTTCTTGAAGGCGGAGAACCTCACCACCACCATCAGCTCCGTGGACTTGTACTTGGTGATCTGCAGCTTGCTGATTGCCGTGTTCGACGGCACCAGCATGGTTAGGGGCTTGGAAAGAGCAGCTTTAACTTCCTTCATCTTGCCTGCAGTGGGGGAAGGGAGGGAGAGAAGCGCGAGTGGGAGGGACGGGGAGAGGTTTAGCGAGAACGGAGGAGCTAAGACGGATCAGAAGAAGTGGAGACGCTGTGGGAAAAAGGGCGAAAACGAATTTGGAATCGAATACGTGGGAAGTCGCGGTTCTGAAGTGATTCGTGACTTGTCGCGGTTCTTCGCCGTTCTGCGCGGTTCGTACCGTAGGCACTGACGAGAGAGACGAAGCTGGTGAATCCCGACTGGTTGAGCTTCTGAACTGCCTTGTCGAAGGGCGTCAGCGGGCCTGTTGGCGCCCCCGCGGTCTTCCTTGGAGTTGTCGTCTTCCCCGGCGGAGCTGGCGTTGTCTTCGGCGCGGTTGGTGTTTTGGGCGCTGTTGTTTGAGCTGAGCAGACGACGGCGAACTCGACGAAAGCGAGCAGCAGGAGGGATGATCGGGAAACCGCCATGGATGAGAGTGTGGAACGAGGATGCAAAACTCAGGGGAAAATGAATCGAGTCGATAATCAATATGTGATGGGGTTGGTTGGAAAGGTATGATGCAATCGTCGTCAGGGATGAATGCTGGGATGGGAGAGGAGACTCCAGAGAAGACTACAGATGAGTCGATGGTGATGGTTGTGGAAGTGGATGGTTGGGGGGTATAAATTCCAAATCGAAACTGCGTACAGATTGTTGGAATTTCCCTGAACGCGGCTCGTACAATTGATTTTCGCCTGTCGTCAACTCAACCAGCGCTCGACGCGGCGGTGATAACGGTTTCTGCAGTCAAGCCAGCACACGAGCTTGGACAGCTGGGCGACCCAAAACGACTGCGCGCGACCGACAGCATGCCCCCTACGATGATCGGGAGGTTGCGGCGAAACTGTCGCATAGTTCATGTTTCTCACAGCCACCCGCGATGCTCGCGAAACTTCAAAACGGTCGTCAGGGGTATTCTCCTGTAAAGAGAATACGCGTTATGTTGGTGTAAGGGTACTAAATCCTTGGTTTATTGGTTCTCTATATTATTCTTAGCCTGAGGGTCTATATTATTCTTAGCCTGGGGATCTCTATTATCGACTCTGGGCCAAAGTTTCGTTTGGGGGTTTGCCTTGTCTTGTCTAATTTTCAAAATAAATGAGCTAAGATCTCTAAAGATTCGGAGGATGCCTTGCATTTGCAACTCTTCTTGTGGCCTTCCCTTAATCATTTTCACTTCCCACAAGAAAGAACCTCTCAAGGTAACAAAAGTTGTCAGAATAGAAGGGTACAGTGTGTTTTTGTGCTACTGTATTGTACTCTTTAAGAGTATGCACCTATGTAGCATATAGTTACATACCAATATATGTTTGGCACACCCCCTAGCCTAAACAAGGGGCAACGGCTAGCACGAGACACGCAGCTCAGGGTGGTACTACTAGTCCAACCTCTGAGGCAAGGGTCCGAAGACCAATCAGCAAGAGTACAAACTAAACAAAAGCAATCCAGGGCGGCACTCTCAGAGTTAGAAGTGTTGACTAGAATGAGAGTATATAGGGGTATATAGCTAGTGGGTTGTACTCTCTATGGCAAGCCCCTATGCAGTCTACTAAACATACATACATATGTTTGACACACCCCCTAGACTAGATAGGGACAGAGCCTGGTGAGAGACAAACAGCTCAGGGCAGCACTACTAGTCCAACCTCAGAGGCAGGGGTCTAAAGACTAGTCAAAAGAGTACAAACAAGCCAAGAACAAGACCAGGGCGGCACTACTAGTCCAGCCACTGGGAGAAAGCCACAAGGCCAGTCAGGATAATATATAAAGAGTTATACACAATCAAGGTCCTAGCAAATGAGGTGCTACAGGAACGAGTCTGGGCTGTATACAGTTTCGCTGATGATCTTTAGGCGCAAGCGCCTTCGTAAAGATATCAGATGTGTTGGCACCGAAGGCCAAGTGTACAACGCGGGCCTGGCAACGCTGCTGTAGCTCGCACTAGAGGAAGTACCGCAGCTGGATGTGCTTTGCTCTGCCCACGAGTCCAGGCTCCTGACACAGGAGGATCATGGCCTTGTTGTCAGCGTACTGAACCGGGGCAGAGCTAGGCCGCTCACCTAAGTTAGTGAGCAAGAAGGTCAGCCACCGGAGCTCCTGTGCCGCCATGGCACCGGCGTATATCTCAGCCTCACAGCTGGACTAGGCAACTAATGACGAGTGGGTGGACCTTCACGAGACAGAACTTGCACCACGGCCAAATCATTAGCCCTAGGAGGACCGGAGAGTCTCGGCGTCGTCTGCCCAGGAAGCGTCTGTGTGCCCGATAAGGACCACTGGTCTGTGTCCTCCTAGCACTAGCCCCATGCTGGATGTACTTGCTAGATAACGCAAAACCCTCTTAGCTACAGACCAGTGCTCTGGTCGGTGTCTGCCGGAGGCCACAAAGTGGGCCAAGATGCTGAGAGGGTATGCGAGATCTGGACGAGTGCAAGTCATCACATACATGAGGCAAACCACCAGCTCTGCGTAAGGACCACTAGGCTCTACACCCTCCTTCGGAACTGGAGCAGAGAGTCAGTGGTCTACTAATAGAGGGGTGGACTGTGCGGAAGAGAACTGAAGGCCGAACCTCTGAAGGACCTGGCGCACCAAGTGTGACTGAGTGAGAGTGATGGTGCGCGCTACTCTGTCCCTGGAGATCTGCAGGCCAAGGTAGCGGCGCAGCTTCCCTAGGTCAGTGCAGGTGTGTCTGCTCAGCAGCTCGGCCTTCACGGAGGCCAGCGCATCTCTGTCTGCAGTAGCAAAGACAATATCATCTATGTAGACAAGAATGTAGAATGGAGTCTGGCTGGAACGGACGAAGAGAGAGGGGTCCGTAGACGACGAGAAGAACTGCAGGTCAGCAAGCGTAGCACGCAGCATATCGTGCCACTCATGGGGCGCTTGGCGCAAGCCATAGATGGGGCGCCGGAGGAGCCACTCGGTACTAGGGGGAAAGGTACCAAAGAAGCCCTGGGGACGGCGCACGTAGACCTGCTTGTGTAGACTTCCCTGGAGGAAAGCTATGGAGAAGTCGAGTGAGTGCAGCGAGTAGTCACGCTGTGCTGCTACGTGTAGCTGTACCCGAAGAATAGTCGTCTTCGGGGTCGGGGTGAAGGTCTGAAAGAAGTCAACCCCCTCACGCTGGCTGAAGCCACGAGCAACGTAGCGCACCTTGAAGACAGGCGGCTCTCCAAGAGGGCGCTTCACCTTGAAGAGCCATCGACCATCGACTACGTTCACCCCCGGTGGGGGAACTGCGTCGACGAAGGTACCGGTGGATCTCCAAGGTGCTATCTCCTGCTCCATTGCAGCTATCCACTGAGAGGCCAAGGATCCCGAGGTCGCCTCGACGTAGGTGCGAGGGGTCGGGATGTCAAGGGCGTCTGGGTCACCCCCAGGGACTAGCAGCATGGAACAGAGATGGAGAGGGACCTCGGATAGGAAAGCAAGCTCGTACTGTCTGTCCTCTAGGACATCACTGCAGAGGGCAGCCACATTCCCGACGGACGGAGGGCAAGCAGGGTCAGAGACCAAAGCGGTGGCGTAGTCAAGGTGGCGGGTAGCGACGAAGTTAGTGACAGCAGCAACAAGAGCGTCAAGGCTCGAGACAGGATCAGACGGGTCGGTAACGAGGGAGGCAAGGACACGACGAACAAGGGGGCGTGCGGCACGGAGGAAGTTTGAAAACGGAGGCGGGGCCTTAGCAAGCGACGATGGAGGAGGAGACGAGAGGAGCGGAGGAGCACGAGACGCGTGAGAGCGAAGCAACATAGGGTGAGAACGCGAAACAGGGGAGTAGAACGAGCACGAGACGGACGACGTGCCCAGACGTGAAACGGAGGAGTCGGGTCAGGTGAGAGGGGAGAAGACACACGAGGAGAACAAGGAGGGAAACGAGCCAGAGAAGAGTCCACGGGAGGAAACACAGGGTCCTAGACTGGCAGAGGAGGAGGCGGCGGCGACTAAGGAGGCACCGGCGGGCGGTCAGGAGAAGGAAGGTCGAGGAGGCGAAGAGCGAACACCGTCGGCGACTGCGACGACTGCTGCCCGACGCCAACACCTGAACCTCCAAAAGGACCACGGCTCCTTCTGTGAAGCCCCACGCCAGCACCCCGAGAATGGGAACCCGCTCCAGTACCCGCCCCGGCACGCTCCCCAGCACCCCCATAACGCACAAACCCCAGCGGCGGTGACGACGGCGACTGCGGCGGCGACGGAAGCTGTGGAGGCGGTTGTGACAACAACGGCAGCGACAGGGGAGGGGAGACCGAGGTGGGGGCAGGCGGGGGAAGGGACTTTGCCGAGCCACGAGAATCAGCAGACCTCTCGGCAGGGAAAACCAACGGGAGGGGGGTGATGTGAGACACACCAGACGGGGCAGGGCGGGGAGGGGGGGTAACAGGGGCGACCGGGGGAGGGGGGGGAACTAGGAAGTAGGGGGGGTGACTGGGGGACCACAGTGGGGAAAGCGGTGGTAGAAGGAGACAGACTTGTCAAAGGTAACGTTGCGAGAGTGAAGGAAATGGTGAGACGGCAGGTGGTAGAAGTGCCAGTCAGACGAGTCGAAGGGGAAACCTAGGAAGACACAGGGGATGGTGCGGGCAGTGAGCTTGTCCGTGCCAGAGGCACAAAAGTAAGCAAGGCAGCCCCAGGCGTGGAACGCAGAAGTGTCACCAGGAGACGCGGTCCAGAGGAGGGTCAACGAAACCTGCAGCCGCTGAGGGTGCGGCAAGAGGTTAAGCTGGTGAGCGGCGTAGCGAAAGGCGAACGGCCACAGAAAATGGGGTG